CTATATATCCTAGCTCCTCCCCTACCTCTTCGGAGCAGTCCCTCAGAGCCATCTGAGAGGCTGTCATCCCGGCTTGAGCCCTCCCGCCAAATAAAAGATAACTTTCAACTTCTAGGCTGTGCATTTATTTCAGTTGACACAGGTCACACAGAGATGTGACTCAAGCCCGGGTAGTCTGTCACCATAGTCTATACTCACCACGAGCCATTTTACCAGGGCCCCTTCTTTTCTAAATCTTTTGTTTTGATTCTGCCTGCCCTTGGATGACTGCATTCTATCATCAGAGTTCTGTTTTGTCTGTTTTTTCAAGAAGAGCTCAAAGTTGCTGTTTCGCTTGAGTCCTCTCATGCTGGAAAGTCTCTGTATTTTGCTTTCATTTATGAAGAGCAAATTTGCTGAATATAATTTTTTTTAAGTAAAAATTCTTAGGTCTCACTTTCCTATAGACCTCTCCAGACATTATTCTACTGTCTGCTGGAACAGATGATTTTTGTGGAGAAGTAGGGCCATTAGATTTTGCTCTCTTGTGTGTAAATTTTTCTTATTTGCTTTGTATGTAATTTTTGCTGTTCTCTGTCTGGATTGGTCCTTTTCCCTTCATTAGAACACACCTTGATTCGGGGAATTCTACCTTAGTTTTTCCTGGTCATGTTATGGCTTTCTGTCCTGAAGATTCAAATCTTTATTTTGGAATAATTTTTTTCTATCATTTTTGGGAAAAACTTTAAAAATTTGTTTGTTTCTATTCTTTGAGACTATCAACTGTGTCTGCTAGATCTCCTTTGACTTCTATGTTATCCTCTCTACTATTTTTTATATCATTGCCCTTTTGCATCTTTCTGGGGCTTTAAAAAACCTGTCATTTATGTCCTTTGTTCTTGTTTTTGATTGTGTTTTTCCACATTTATTTATCATGTAGTGTTTTTTGACAATGCTTTTCTATTTCTATTCCACCATTTCCTCCTGAGCTCTGCTGGCTTGCCTTTCATCCCTATTGTTTTTCGAACCCTTCCTCTGTTTCCTTGGGTAATTCCTCTTTTGTGTTCTTTATCTGTAGTTTGATTACATTTCTTTACTCTTTTCTTTCTTCTTCCAGCCTATATGCATACAGCCTGGATGGTTTATATCTGATGACAGCAGGGGAGATTTATAGGGGGAGGAGGTCAAGAAAAGTTGGAAAGTCTTCAGCTTCCTATAACCACTGCTTCCTCTTTCCTAAGGGTTCATATACTTTTCATATTTGGCATTCAGGAGGTTAGTGTGGTATACAGCAAAACCCCCCTTAAACCACCTCTGGAAAATCCCTTAAACTCCCTTTCTCTCTCTCAGCTACTAGACCAGGTTATAGACACAACAACTTACTGCTACCATGGTCTTTCTTCCCTCCCCTGCCACATGACATTACAGAATTGGAGTCTCACTAGGGGCAACTACTGCTTCTCCCATGCCCTTTGGCCTTAGTGTTTTAATCAAAGACTCTTTGGAACTGTCATCTATTCTCAGAAATACATATACCCCACCTGAGGTCCAAGGCTCTCAGTGCTTTTCATCATTTCTGTTCAAATTTGAAAGTGTTTGGCAAGCATTCTTCATGGCTGTTGTTTGGAATGGTAGTATTTCCCTGTTTCATTGAAGATGGGATTAGGAATCAAGGAGGGGTTTTCTAGGTGGTTCTAGATCAGGGTCTCTCATGAGGTTGCAGTCATCTCAGAGGCTGGAGAATCCCTTCCCAGGCTCACTGTTGGGCAGTCTCAGTTCTTTGCTGACAGTTGACCAGAAGCTTTAGTTCCCCTGACATGGGCCTCTCTGTAGGGCTGCTAACACATGGCAACTTGTTCCCCACTAAGAGAATGTGATGAGAGTCAGAGAGAGACAGGGAGAGAGAGGGAGCACAAGAGAGCAGCCAAAATGGAAATCATATTCTTTTACAATGTAATTGTAATAATTAGAGATAGGATGGAAGAGGGCAGGGCACAGCCACTCAAGGAATGACAGCAATTTAACACCAAAATGGAAGATTCACCAAAATGGTGGAAGATTCAACTCCCAGTTGGCCTTGAGGATTAAGTTGGTGGCAGGTCTGACTTCTAGTAGACCTTGAGCTTCATTATATGCTCATTGTAACAGCGTGATAAATAACATGCCTGCAAGCGCCACACCAGTCCCAAGGCTAACTGCAAAAGGCCAAAGAATGGGTGGTGGCCCAATTCCTGGGAATCCCAGCCCCTTCCCCGGGGTAGTTGGAATGGTCCCACTTGTAGGCATGTGAAGCTACTGAGCCCACAAAAATGGGCAACACCGTGCCTAGCGGCCTTTTTCGCTCCCTCCTCTTTGGAGACGGCTTGTACTCTGTCTACGGAGTGTGCACCTACTTTTACTTTAACTGAGCACCCATCTCCTACACCTCTTTCCTTGCCTTTCTCTTGCCTTACACTCCATTTTTAGATAAATAAATAAATATCTCTCTAAATAAATCTATCTTTACTTAACTGTGGCTCACACTTGAATTCTTTCCTATGTGAAGCCAAGGACCCACACTTCGCAGGGCATGTCCCAGGGGCTCAACCTGGGACACGGCCCTCCTCACGCCCCACATCCATTTTCCTGCATCAGTACCATCACTTCTGCTGTATTCTACTGCTCACACAGACTCTGGCCTAGTGTGGGAGGGGACTGCACCAGGGTGTGAATGCCAGAAGGTAGGGATCATAGGGGCGACCTTGGAAGATGGTTACCACAAGCACGTGTGTGTGTGTATGCCTGTAATTATGTATATATAATATATCACACACAAATTAACCAGAAGAATGTTTATAACAATTCTAAATTTGAATTAATAATATAGCTTCAAAATATATAAATCAAAAATTGATAGAACTATAAAAAGAAATACATAAATCTCCTGTCATAATGAAAGATTTTAGCTCACTCACCCAGTAATGAATAGATCAAGTCAATGAAAATATCAGTAAAGATAGATTTTGAATAAGACAATTAACAAGTTCGATCTAATGGACATAGGTACAACTCCATAAACCAATTGGAGAAGACACGTTCTTTTCATGCCATACAGAACCTTATGAAACTTGACTATTTAATAGTCCACAATTTAAATGTCAATACATTTTGAAGAATTGGAACCACAATTTCCGACCACAATGCAGTTAAAAATCAAATCAGCTTGTAAAAAGATGACCATGAAAATCTTATATGCTAGCGAGTTTTCAAATAAACTGCTAAATTATTCACAGGCAAAAGGAGAAATCATAATGAAAATTTAAAATACATAGAACTGAAAAATAAAAACAAATGCTACATATAAAAAGTTTGGAGACAGTGATAGCAATATATAGAGGGAAACTTATAATCTTAAATGGATAATTTAGAAAAGCCAAAAGACCGAGAATTAATGAGCTAAGCAGCTAATTTATAAGTCTTTAAAGTAACAAGAGAATAGAAGTATGGTAGAAGTATGAAAATAATAAAGCAGAAATTAATGAAACAGAAAACAAAGGTAAAAAAGAATCAAAAAGGAAAAATTGGTTCTTTGAAATGACTATTAAAATTAACATACCTCTGGAAGATTAGTTAAGAAAAAGAGAGAAAAGGTACAAAAATGCTATACTGGGAATAACTGGGACATAACATAAGGAGCAGCAGAGATTAGAAGGAAATTAAGAGAAAAACTCATGACAAAAAATTTTAAAGTAAATAATAAGTGAACTAGAAAAAAAGTAATTTACCAAAATTAACTAAGAAAAACCAAACTCAGTCCTGCATATTCCTTTAAACGCATGGAATTGGTCATTTCAAATGGGATTCTCATAAAGAAAACAGCTGCTCCAGATAATTCTGAGGACAAGTTCTAACAAACATTCAATGCAAAGTCTTCTAGAGAACTGAATGACAGAACATTTATTCATCCTATGGGATTTATTAAATTATTAATTTCAGAAGATTGTAGTAACTATTAACAAATCAGGAAAGCATTTTGTAAACTTTTCTGTTAAATATTTATGCAGTTCAAAGTCATTATTGCGTTTATTGTAAGCTCTGTCTGACTCAGTTTACATAACTGAACTTACCTCAGGTAATTCAAGTCCAGTTGAATCCTGTTTTAAGTCCTCTCTTCATCTATATTAATAGAAGCGATCATCTCCTGTGGGTGTGTGAACTTTCCAGCAGACTGTGAGAGCGTGGTGTTGCAGTATCTGTAAGTAAAGACTTTGGTGTCAGCAAAGTCCACAAACTCTTCCCTAGGAATCACAGATGGGAGGATGTCTTATATACCCATATCAGTTCAAATTTGCTCCATGTTTTTCATTTAAATAATCTTATATAATATGACTGAGTTGATGTAATCCCTCCTCTCCCTGCATTCCAAGAAGAATCTGGAACCTGGAACTCAATCTTGACCACTGAGTTTAACAGCAATATATTTTATCAACATAAAATGTAAATTCAGCCCTTTTCTATTCCTGTTCTACATGTTGCCACCGTCTGAACTTTGTGAAAATCCGCCCATTAGTTTATGATGCCTGAAAAATCCTCTCATTTATCCTGGCTGTGTCTTCTGATGCTCTTGCTGGGATCCCAGGGGCCGTATCTCCCTTTTGTGATCAAGTAAATGATCTCTGCCCTAGATGTTCATGAATCACAAGTGCAGATTCCTCACTTCTCTGAGTGTATCTTTTACTTCTAGTGGAGGCATCACTCCCAACTTCTTCTGGAGGCTCTTCATTTCCAGCAGCCCACAGAATCTTCCCTGTGGTATTCTGCTGAAGTTACGGCTTTGGAGTTAGACACACTCAATATCGAACTATAAAACTATCAAGTAGCCGGGCAATTTATTTGACTTTTTTTTCCTGCTTGGGTTTCTTGTCTGCTAACTGAGTACAATGATTCCTGTCTTGCAGGGTAGTTGTCATGGACTGAATGTTTGTGTCCTCCTAATATTCATATGTTGAAACCTACCCTTTACCTCTATCCCCAGTGTGATGATATTGGGAGGTATTTAGGATTAGATGAGGTCATGAGGATGGAGCCCTCCTGAGTGGTTTAGTGTTTCTACCAAGAGCTTGCTTCTCTCTACCATTTAAAGGTGCAACTAGAAGGCTGCCTCCAGACAGAGGGCTTTCAGCAGACCTCGACCATGCTGGTGCCCTTGTCTCAGACTTCCAGGCTCCAGAACTGTGAGAACTAAACTTCTGTTGTTTATAACCTACCCATTCTAGGGTATTTCTGTTAAAGCAGCGCAGACTAAGATAGTAGTAATAAGGTTAGAATGAAATTAAGTGCTTAGCTTAACACTTGAACTCAGTAAACACTCAGTGCATGCTGGTCATCATTATTATCATAATCTCCATTCCCAAAGCCAATTTTCTGTGAATTGTGGGGATAAATAGATCTTTGAATTTTTTATTCTAATCTCTATTGATTATCTATTGACCTTATTCATTTGCGGGAAGGGCACATTTTTAAATTTTGATATTTAAATACCCTATGAGGTTTCTGAGAGCATAAACTGGGAACATAATGGTGATGGTTTGTGTCTCTAATTGTCTTTAATGTGCTTATAGCCTCCCTGGGAACCTGTACCAAGTCCTTGGGAAATAGCTTAGCCATTAGTACGGCAATGTCTCTTGCTTTCAGGACTCTCAACAGTCAGTTGATATTTAAATCTTATAACTTAGAAGGCCAGATGAGACCATCTTCTCTGTAATTATTTCACAGATGTGCACAAGGCAGTTTTTCTCACAGTTTAGGCCTCATTGGACCCCTTATCAGTGTTTGGCACACTTGTGAACTAAAAATTTTAGGTGAAAATCTTAAAAGATCACCCACTAGTAAAAAGTAATATTCAAAATTTATGATGATCAGTTCAGATTTTTAAGAGGGATGA